TTCTACCCACTAATATCTTGCACCAAAAACATTAAGGTTTACTTACATTCCCTGTTCCAGTCCAGAAAAACACTCATCTCCAAAACTACAAAAATTCACTGTTCAAACCCGTCAGCGACGGGGGGCTTTGACATACGGCTTGTTAAAGGCAGTAGAACAACTGATTTTATGTCTACAATCCATTACCGCTTCCATCAGTCTGTGTCTGCCTTAAACAACTATACTGGATCCAAAAAAGTTCAATCTGGTCCTCTGGACATTCAAAAAAACAAAAGCAAAACAAAGCAAAAGAAATCTAGAAAAGTTTCGTCTCTCATCCGAGAGACTTCCTCAGTCTTAGAGTGGATCAACCAGTTTGCTGCTGACAACCAAAACCAGCTGATCACATGCTCAAGAAGGACCATCAGCCTAACAAAGGATCATTAGCACACTGATGGCTGTTTACTATTCACAGAGGGCTGAGTGATACTAGCAATCACAGCATTGTAAGAGGGGGACAGTTGAACCCGGAGGCCTCCACCCCTGTTTAATGATGGACGGTTTCTTTTCACAAAGATGGCCTCCTTTACTCCTCTCTCAAACCATCGTTCCTCTCTGTCCAGGATGTGAACATCTTCATCCTTGAAAGAGTGACCGCTGGCCTGGAGATGAGTGTAGACCACAGAGTCCAGGCCTGATGGTGTTGATCTTCTGTGCTGGGCCATCCTTTTGGCCAGTGGCTGTTTAGTTTCCCCGATGTAAGACTGATCACAGCCCTCCTGACACTGAACAGCATACACAACATTGCTCTGTTTGTGCCGGGGGACTGGATCTTTGGGATGAACCAGTCTTTGCCGTAATGTATTTTGGGGTTTAAAAGCCACTGGGACGTTATGTTTAGAAAATAAACGTCTCAGTTTCTCTGATACCCCCTCAACTATACTGGATGTTTTTTTTGTTTTGTTTTTTCGCTTGTACAATAAGAGGAAGAGTTGCTTGTTAAATGTCTGAAACTCATTCTGTTTGTCTGCTTTGTGTCCAGGGATGGTACTTGACAAGAGGGTCTTCCCAACCAAAGATAACTCTTGGGTCAGTTTGGCACATAAACCCATGATCAGTGATAGCAAAGAGCTGGAGAAGGTTTTCAAATCTCATAAGAAGGTGTGTCTTCTCAACCTGCCAGCGCCAGAGAAGAAGACCATCCCCAAGAACAAGTCTGGTACGCTACTGTTGTGTTTTTTTCCACAAATGATCTATCGGAGTGTATAGGTTCTGACTCTGCATGGTTCTCTTTAGATCAAACAGTAGCAGGAGAGCGAGCTACAATGCCTTCCTTCAATGAGAAGGACAGATATTTGTTTTTGGACATCTGCGGTGTACGCCAGCTTTCTCTCTGTGTGAAATCTGAGCCACTGACTGAGAGCCTGAGGCCCTGTCACACCATGCAGTCCTTGGTGCGCTCAGTCGTCCCCTATATCCAGAGGTTCCTCAGAAACCATGACGAGCTGTCTGAAGTCTACTTGGATCTGGTTGACAGGAATATAGCAAAGAAAATCAAACACCTTAGCTTCGTACAGGTAAAGTCTCACTGAGATATTTTAGACTGTTGTTGAAGTAGTTTCTGAAACTGTTGATGAAGCCTTCCAACCACCAACAACTTCTTAGGTTAAGCCTTTATTTTGTGTTCTGCTGTTGCAACAGAGTTTAGTACCATGAAACACAGTTCATCTCTTCGTTTTGATTTTGTGTATGGCTAGCTAATCTTCTTCTACTGGCCACAGGTGGGGAAGCTTTATATCCGCTACCAGCTGGATATTGCTGACACTGAGCTGATAGAGCTGCAAGATGTCAGCTGTCTGCTGAAGGATGAAAAGGAGTTCTACATCCAGAAAGATCACGTCACTGACAAGATGGAAATCTGCAGGTTTGTGTTTGATTTGGAAACCTCATCATTTCTAATCATCAAACTGGATTTGTTGTTCCTCGTCACGGAGCGAAGACGAGCATTGAAAATCTGAATAACTTCAAAGATAAGTGAGATCTCGACTTCCATTTTGATGTGTGCCTTCATCTAGGCGTAAGAAACGTCACATTAGGCTGTCACGTCAAAATCCAAGATGGCTGCCACCACCATATATTTATGTAAATCAGCCACCCCAATCATTCAAGGAATATATGCTTTCTAGTTTTTATATTACTTAAAAGTATAATATACTCAAATGATTGGGGTGGCCCTTGAGGTGTCAGAAGATTAATCAGTGGAGGCCAAGGCCACCATTGGCCACCCCCTGGCTCCACCATTGCATCTGGTGGTGAATAGAACTGCTCCATTCACTCACCAGGAGTTGCACTCTGCACTGCTTCAGACAAGAAAACAGTGTGACTCCTGCCCACTTTACATTAGCTAATATAATTTACCTTTCAGGAGGTTTCACCGGTAAACGACTGAACTATTCAAATGAAAACCTGGACTCGCTGTAATATATAATATAATGTGTAATGTGTTTGTGTGCAATCTACTTCATTAGTTTCCAGGAAGCAACACTTCTAACTTCCTGTCCCATGTCAGACCCCTGACTCTCCATGGTTCGTCCCTGCAAAGATCTGAATGAATCATTTGTCAAATAAGCAACAGTTGTGCTGAAAACATGTATCTTGTGATATATAAAATTACAAAAATGTCAAGATAAAGTCCAAAGTGTAGTTTTAACATACGAGTCAGTCTCAAAGTTCAGAGTTCTTTATTTGCCATTTGTGCACAAACCAACAATCCAGTAGGAACGTGCGATATGGCATAAAATTCATATCACGATATGTATTGTGAAGGGTGGCGATAACGATATATATCACGATATGTTTTTGGTATAAAACTTGCTAAAAAAAGCATATGGTGTCCTTTTGCCATTATATTTTGAATTAAGAAAATTCCACTACTAGGTCCAGAGAGTTTTTAAATAGTAAACAAATCAAGTATTAGGCTTCTTTCTTGTAGTGCAAAACAGTGCAAAAGATATCAAATGTAGTTTTAGCCATATGTTTTAAACAAAAGAAAATGTTGTTAACTCAACAGTTTCCAGTATTCTCACTTAATAAATGAACAGCAACAGAGCAACATTTTACACTGAAACACTTCACCCTCCAACCCTGTAGTGGACTCCTTCTGCTTTAAGGAGAGCTGACACAAAATGAGTCTGTGGCTTTGACCAGAGGGTCTCACAGTAAAATCACACAACACAGCGTTCTTTTCACAGATCAGAGAGCAGGTTTCTCTAAAGATGACCAACGCTTACTTTAACTTTCGACGGGAAAAACAAAACTTTCGACGGAACACAGCGTTTTGCGCATGCGTCCGAATACGGCAACACTACGGCAAGCCGGCTGTTGTTAGCTTGTAGCTTCGCTACTTAGCGCTTGAAGAAAAGACTAACGCCACTTGCGCACAGTTTTTAACTAAAAAAAAGTAACGATTAAATCTGAAAACTCTGATTTTACATCAGACACAGCATTACTGCAGTTAGCTGGTAGAAGTCAGATCTCTATCGTAGGATAAATTTCTATCGTTTCTACCGTGTATCGTTTATATCGCGCATTCCTACAATCCAGGTATGTTTGAATTCTTGTGCAGAGCTCTCTGTCATAGTCAAAAAACACTGAAACACTAAATAAAATAAAAATAAGAACAAAGGGTTTACTTTATGTACAGTGTAGATAGAAACCAAAGTCACATGACCAGTGAAGTTAGGTAGTGTAAGTTATTGCACCTGCTCAGTAGTTTTGTTTTGCCATCAGTCTGACTGTGGCAGGAAAAAAAACTATTAAAACCTTGTATATAGACTGTCTATAGACAAAAACACAATGAACTGTTTGTCCTTCCTGTGTTGCCTAAAATAACTTCTTAAACCTAAACTAATTAAAAATGGCCCTTTGCCGTCTTGTTAAATTAACTTTTTGATAACTTTGTTTAGAAGAAAATGAAAGACAGCAGCCAACTGTAAACTCTTAAGGCCGTTTTCACACCAGATAGTCTGGTAGACTCGGTTCTGGACCAATATTCATGACCTTTTGTTTACATTTGGGCTGGTGAGTTTGCATTCACACTGCACTGTGCAGTCGAGTCAACCTGTTGAACCAACCTATTCCCCCACTCGCCTGTGGGGGCGCTGCACCAAGAACTACTTAAAGAAACAACACAAAAACCTCTGAAGACACGTCTTCTTCTTCTTCTTCTGGAAATAAAAATAAAAACAAAGTGGCATCAAGTTTTAGCAGTTTTAGGAGTTATATTTTGTCATTTTTCATAAATGGACTTAGCATGAGCAGAAGATGAGACAAAAGACCGTGGAGAATATTGTTTTTCACACAAGGCAGCTGACAGCTTCATATAAGGTCAGAGAAATGCGTGTTTGTTTACCCTGCAGAGCGGGGCCGGTCTGTTTACATTCACACTGCACTTGAACCGCGCTGGAGTTCGCTTCTACTGGACCGAGACCTAGGTTTTAGCCCGGGCCAGAGTTCGCCTTTTTGTTCCGTGACAGAGTTCGATGGCGCGTTCACACCTCCCTTAGGGTGCATTCACACCAGCCCTGTTTAGTCCGCTTTAATCGAACTCCAGCTCGTTTTCCTAGAAAGTCCGGTTCGTTTGGGGAGGTGTGAACGCGCCATCGAACTCTGTCACGGAACAAAAAGGTGAACTCTGGCCCATATGGAGCCGTCAGCTGCCTTGTGTGAAAAACAATATTCTCCATGGTCTTCTGTCTCATCTTCTGCTCATGCTAAGTCCATTTTTGAAAAATGACAAAATATAACTCCTAAAACTGCTAAAACTTGATGCCACTTCGTTTTTATTTTTATTTCCAGAAGAAGAAGAAGTGTCTTCAGAGGTTTTTGTGTCGTTTCTTTCAGTAGTTCTAGGTGCAGCGCCCCCACAGGCGAGTGGGGGAACAGGTTGGTTCAACAGGTTGACTCGACTGCACAGTGCAGTGTGAATGCAAACGCACCAGCTCAAATGTAAACAAAAGGTCATGAATATTAGTCCCGAACCGAACGGAGTCTACCGGACTATCTGGTGTGAAAACGACCTAAAAGTCTCAGACATTTTTAAAACAAGCAGACAAAGTTTAAGCTGCATGGTGGCACAGCGAGTTTGACCTCCTGCATCAACAGACATGTTGTTTGTGTTGCAGTGAGCTGGTGAAGTTGTTCTGCACCGACAGCAGCCACAGAAAAGAGCTGAGGCATTTCCTGAGTGGCCTCATCGCTTCGCTCAGTGTAAGTGATCGCTAATCCATAACTCTGAGGAGGGTTTTTTTTTCTCTGTCACGCTCTCACAACCTGTCACTCCTTATCTGTTCGCTCGCAGCCGACTGTAGCTTGGAGTAATGGCCGTTTCCCTGAAGGGAGTCTCTGAACAGCGACTTCATCTCTGTTCAGCTGTGCAGCACCTCAGGCCTCAAATGAACATCTTCCCCTTAAACAAACTAAAAGAAATCTGGATAAACTGCTGCTGAATGTTTAATATAGAATAGACCTGCATTATGACTGCACCTAAAAACAACAAAATTTGGGTTTGCTTCCCAGAGCACAAGTAAAAACAGTATAACATAAAACAAAGCAAAAAAAACAACAAATATATAAAAACTGTATAAAAGGTAATAGTTACAGATTTTAAACACTCCAAATGTGCAACACAAGCAGACTGATATTACACTAGTTGTCCCTTCTTGCCCTTATTCAGTTCTTGCTACAGTTTTTGTTAAGTTCAGTAATGGATGAGGGATAAAAATTATTTTTAAATCTGTCTGTTCTTGTCTTGATTGATCTGAACCTTTTCCCTGATGGTACCAGTTCAAACAGATCATGTCCAGGGTGAGACGTGTCCTTTAAGATGTTGTGGGCTTTTCCTATCAGCAGGAACTGTGTAGATCTTCCAGTGAGAGAAGAAGGCAGCCCACGATCTTCTGGGATGTGTTGATAACTGTCTGGAGCTCTTTCCTCTGAGCCACTGTGCAGCTAAGATACCACACCGTGATGCAGTGTGTTAAGATGCTCTCTATGGAGCATCGATAGAAAGACACCAGCAGTCACTGGGTGATGTTGTTCCTCCTGAGCACTCTCAGGAAGTCCAGTCTCTGCTGGGCCTTGTTCATCACCTCAGAGGTGTTCAGGCTCCAGCTCAGATTCCCAGGAAACGGTTGTCGGCTAATCTCTCCAGTCTCCACACTGTCTCCACCTATAATCAGGGGTGGGACCGCCATTAATATCTTGATGTTTTGAGTCGATACAATTTGTTCTGATTTTATTAAATATTTTCATGATTTGATTAGGAAATGTAACATTTATTTATTTAAATTAGATCTTGGAATTTTAAGCAAAAAGACTGAATTTGTCTGCAATTGTTTGATTTTGCTCTAAATGTTCAAATCTGACCCCTCCCCTTTCCTGCCCCCCCCAAAAAAAAAAAAAAAAAAAAAAAACCTTCAAATAAAATATAGGCTTCAGGTACAGAGACATGTGCTGCTGCTAAGATCTTTATATTCCTTCATCTTCACCAGATCCAATGGATCAACATGGATCATGGCTTCATGGACCAGCTGAGCTGAGCTCACTCGTGATTTTAGTTTCCACTTCATAATCCTTTCAAAATAAACTACATTGGCACAAACAGATACTGCCCTCAGCAGTGCAGTGGGTGATTGATGTTCTGTTGAGAAAAACACACCAACCAGAAACAACTTGCCGACTCACTACCAGGCACCAGGATCACAAACAATCCTCTCCTTGTCGCTTTAAGACACAGAAGTTATTAATAATTAACAAGTGAACTTGGAATATTTGAAAATCATTGCCCATCCACAACTCAGACTAAAATAACAAGTTAAATCAAAGCTCTGCATGTGTTTTCATCTCAGTAACTTAATGATCCACTGCAGAATCCAAAAGCTCTGAAGAAATTTTTGATCAAAGAGGACGTCGAAGAACTGCCCAGTGGCGAGGAGCAGTGGGAGGTCCCTGAGCCCATCAGACCAGCCGAGATCAGCCTGGACACAGGTACACAAACACACACAGAGGTTTGTCTTGCTATCTTTACATGTACTATGTACTTTGTATTAACTTCCATTCATTTCTATAGCCTAACTCTGACCCTTAACCTAACCAGTACATACCTAACCAGTACGTATCTAACCCTAAACCTAACCAGTACATACCTAACCCTAAACCTAATCATTACCAGTACATATTAGGGGTGTAATGGTAAGCTAAAATCACATTTCGTTTCGGTTCTATTTCAACGAGGGCTCGGTTCGGTTAATTTTCGGTACAAAAAAAGACAAAATAAAGGCTTACAAAATGTTTATTTTGAAAATATGCCAAGTAAACAATACATTTGTATAAAAATAAATAAAAGCAACCCATTTGGTTGATATTTTAAATAAATGGCCATTGGTCACGTTAACTACATCAGTCATGTTTACTCCATTGGTCGCATTAACTCTGTCGGTCATGTTAACTGATGGTCACATTAACTACATCAGTCATGTTAACTCCATTGGTTGGTCAAGTTGCTGTAACTCCATTGAGCGGTCACGTTAACTCCATCGATCATGTTAACTCCATCAATCACATTAACTCCATCAGTCACATTAACTCCAATGGTCATTTGGTCACGTTAACTCTAATGATCGGTCATGTTAACGCCAATCGATCACATTAACACCATCAATCACGTTAATTCCATCGAACTTGTTAATTCCATCAATCACGTTAATTTCATTGGTCATGTTGACTACACTGATCATGTTAACATTGGTCACTTTAACTTCATCAGTCACATTAACTCCATTGGTCATGTTAATTCTATCAAACCCGTTAATTCTAAATTCTATCGGTCACGTGAACTCCAACCTCCATCAGTCAGTCGCATTAACTCCATCATCGGCCATGTTAACTCCATTGGTCGGTCACGTTAACTCCATCAATCACGTGAGCTCCATTGGTCATGTTAAATCCATCGGTCATGTTAACGTCAACCTCCATCGGTTAGTCACATTAACTCCAATCGATCACATTAATTCCATTGGTCATGTTAACTCCATTGGTCACGTTAATTCCATCGATCACATTAATTCCATTGAACCCGTTAATTCCATCTATCACGTTAATTCCATTGGTCATCTTAACTCCAACCTCCATCGGTCAGTCACATTAACTCCACTGATCAGTCATGTTAACTCCATCAATCACGTTAACTCCCATCAGTCACATTAACTCCAATGGTCATTTGGTCACGTTAACTCTAATGATCGGTCATGTTAACGCTAATTGATCACATTAACACCATCAATCACGTTAATTCCATCAATCACGTTAATTTCATTGGTCATGTTGACTCCACTGATCATGTTAACATTGGTCACTTTAACTTCATCAGTCACATTAACTCCATTGGTCATGTTAATTCCATCAAACCCGTTAATTCCATCAATCACGTTAATTCTATCGGTCACGTGAACTCCAACCTCCATCAGTCAGTCGCATTAACTCCATCGGCCATGTTAACTCCATTGGTCGGTCACGTTAACTCCATCAATCACGTGAGCTCCAATGGTCATGTTAAATCCATCGGTCATGTTAACGTCAACCTCCATCGGTTAGTCACATTAACTCCAATCGATCACATTAACTCCATTGGTCATTTTAACTCCGTCAGTCATGTTAACTCCATTGGTCACGTTAATTCCATTGAACCCGTTAATTCCATCTATCACGTTAATTCCATTGGTCATGTTAACTCCAACCTCCATTGGTCGGTCACATTAACTCCACTGATCAGTCACGTTAACTCCATCAATCACGTTCATTCCATCTATCACGTTAACTCCATCTGTCACATTCATTCCATTTATCACATTAATTCCATCGGATCACGTTAACTCCATCGGGTCACGTTAACTCCATCGGGTCACGTTAACTCCATCGGTTGTTGGCTCCATCGGTCATGTTAACATTTAGCTTGTACTAATGGCTGCAGGCATCCTTAGCTTGTTCAGACTCATTTTCTCTCTGATCAACGGATGTGAAACTGCACATCTTCTTGGATCAACTTTAAATCTGGTTAAAGCAATATTCTTGTTGCTTTTTAAGGTACCGGATCCTGCCCTCATGGTTCTTGAAGGCCTAGAAGCAGATTTCTTAAATCCAAGCAACACATGATGGCTGAGTTTTGATTGGATAAATACACTCATTTCTAAAAGCTGCACAACCAAGTTAAAAGCAATTATAAGAAAATGTAGCCTATTTTCAGTCATTTAAATGATAAAAAAAATATATATATAAATACTAAAATAAACTACTACTTACTATTTGTACTACTATTCCTACTTGGCAGTTTTTCACTTATCGCGGGGCTTCAGGATACGGATCCTTGCGATAAACAAGGGACTACAGTATTTCATCACTGTGGGCTGGGTTTTATCTAAATAACTCGTTAAATTTGGGCAAACTGCAGCGGTGCAGAGAGACGGCCAAGTCAGAGGCACAAAATCTTGTTTTTCTGAAACTTTCCCCACATTTTTGAGACACGGTGTGTGTGCGTGCGTGTGTGTGCGTGCGTGCGTGTGTGTGCGTGCGTGCGTGTGTGTGTAGCTCAGATGTGATAAAAGTCTGGAAGCTTCTGACGACTTCTGAAGGCTTCACTTATAAATTCATCTTTAGCCCCAGTGATGCCAGTTTGAAAGAAAATGTTCTGGATGTTTGATAGTGATCTGTATCTGGGGGTGGGGGTGTGGGGGGGTGTCATATTTTGATGCAGAAACCGGAGCATGACATGAATCTTGACCTGTTGCTGCTCTGACACTTGCCCCAATTTCCATCCTTGTGTGGTAACAATTTCTGTTTTTCTCCTTCGCCTTCACACACGCACAGACAGGCACACACACATGCGCACACACACACGATGGTATCAAAGATACCCGACTGAAAGATGTTGGATTGTATACCTGGATTATTGAGCATGGACTTTGTTGGTATCAAAGATAGTTTTAGTATTAATTTTGCTGAATAGTTTTGAAACATTTAATTTATTCATATTAAGGTTGGGTTGTTCTCTTGCAGGTCTGTTGAGGAGTCACTCCTCCTTCACCTCCTCAGAGGAACCGAACCGCCCTGCTCCCACAGATGGGGAGCAAACGCTGGCTTGCTGGCCTCCCCGAGCATCCATGCTGAACTCAAGCAGTAGCGCCGCTGGTTGTTTGTTTAAGCATTATAATAATAATAATCATTTTATTAGCCATGATATATACGATATATATCTTCATGTTTCTCATGAGTTCCTGTCTTAACAGGTCAGGCCAAGAGCAGCGTGATTGAAGCCGTTTTAAAGATGTGGCCCCCTCCTGCCAGCCCTAAAGACAAAGAGCCAGAGAAAGAATTTGGTTCTGGTAGAAGAAGCCACGAAGAAGAGCGGCCTCCCAGAAGAGCTGCAGACCTGCCCGGGCTTCAGAGCCACCCAGGACAGCCTCACACTGCCGCTGTGACCACCAGACCCCCAGGTTTCAACATCTTCTGATTCTGAATGAGTCTCCTGAGTTGTCATGACGACATGAAACTGGCCTTTCTGGAGCTGGTCTTAATGGCTGTTGATCGTTCAGAAGGAAACCACTTCCTGTTTAGCTGCTTTTGTGAAATGAGTTTTCTTCAGCCAACACTAGGCCTGTCGCGATAAACAATAAATCAATTAATCGCATGATAAATGAAAATTATCGACCTAATTTTCGTTTATCGGCTTTATCGTTTCTTCGTGTCTCTCTTTTTACTGAAGACACTGGATGACAAAAGGCTCAACTCTGGTGCTCTTCTCTGACCCCCTCCCTTTCTCTTTTCTCTTTAAAATCTGTTTTAACAATCCAAAATCGCGTTCTTGGATTGTTAAAATCAGCTAAGCTGAGAAGCTAAGCTACGAGCTAAGCTAACAGGCCGACCTTGACAGTTGAAACGCATACCTTTGTGTAAAAAGTTGTTTTTTTCTACAAAAAGAAGCTGAGAACTTGTTTACTTATTTATTTTTTATAATTAAAGCTTTGTGTGACAAATGCTATGCTAAAGAACTTAAACCACACCGAGCGTCCGCCATTTTGAAAAACGAAAAAAGGAAGGAGAGACAGCCCATGTCACGTCAAGGGGCCTCCCTCCCATTTTTCTTAGACACACTGGTCACTCCCTCATTAGTCATCCTTGTGTTCGAACAGTCTTAGACTGTAATCCAGTGATCAAAAAATATACTACACAAAAATTAACCAACAATTCTTCTTAAATTTGACAATTATTAATTAGTCAAATTTCAAATATTATTATCGTTTATTGCAATAATTTCTGAGACAGTTAATCACCCAGCAAAATTTGTTATCGTGACAGGCCTAGCCAACGAAGCATCAGAAGCTAATATCAACATTAGCTTCATTTCAGCTTTAATGTGACAACATATTAATGGGTTCTTCCAGCCATTTTAAAGTCAGGTTCAGTGGGAAAGTTGTCAACAGTTAATATCTTACCTGTTGCAGATTGCTTTTTTGAACAACCTCACTTTGGAAAGATGTTGAAATTTGACAGGACACGTTCTTAACCAGAATCAGAATAAACTTTATTGGCATTGCACCGAGATACAACGCATATATGTACGTACAGTCGTCCGAAGATGGGCGGAGTGCACGAAGCTGCGGCTAAAAATAATTAGCGCGGCCTTCTTATTCTTATTCAGAATAATATTTTGCTTAGATGAGAAAAGGAAAGAAAACATGAGGAGAGACGGTATAAAAAACAAAAAAAAGATCTCTCACACCGTGTCCTAGACGGGGCACAATTTGAGGCATCAAAAAAAAATACAAGGATTTATGTAAATACTAATATTTAAATGTTTACATGCCATCAGTTTCATGTTACGCTCTTATTTTGGCAGAATGTGATGAAATGATCCCAGAAACTGCTCCGCTGCCGTTAATTAACTACAGAATTCAATGTGAAACTGTTGGGGGTGTAACGGTATCACTATGAGACGTTGGTAACTGGTTCAGTTCCTGTGCTGGCCACCACAGAACCTCACTCAGCTGAAATGTTCTTTCAGAAGACTCGGGTGAACGCTGCCCGAGAGTTTAGAAAAGACAAAGTTTCACCGCAAGCTTCAAAGATCGTCCATGTTCTGAACATGTTGGTCCATGTGGTGTCACCAGCAGAACGCAGCCAGCAGAGTAACACGGGAGAGACGGGAGAGAAGACCCTCGCAGCTCCCAGACCAGAACCCGGCCCTCCATCTGTGCAGCCTGCCAGAACATCCAGCGACCAGCCCACTCCAAACAAGCCGTAGGTTCTTCTGCTCTCCTCAGGACATCTGGAACCATCTTCTCCTGTTTCCTTCATTCTTTGTCTCTCTCTGTCAGAGCCGTCCTCAATGCACTGGTGACCTCCGGGACATTCCAGGGGACAGCAGCTGCTGCAGAGACCCACCGTCCTCCTCTGAACTTGGACTTCCCCATGTGGAACAAAGACCAGGCCGCTCTGGAGGACATGGAGCTCACCTGCCAGAGACCCCCCACCGTCAGTGTGCTACCTGCCAACGTTGCTCTCGGTGTGGTCACACATTTTAACGTTGCTCTTTCCTAGGTGGTGCTGTCGGACGAACAGCCGGACCTGACAGCGATCGGTGAGTGGGGGGAGCAGCTGGTCTACTCCTTCCTGTGTAACTGGAGAGACGGCAGCGACCTGGGTCGGCCCGCTCACATCCTGTGGTGCAATCAGAGCGGAGAGAGCGGCCAGCCCTACGACTTCAAGCTCACCTTCGGCGCGGGGGCCACTCCAGGGGTGGTGTTCGTGGAGGTGAAGTCGACTGTGAAGAAAGATAAGTCGTTTATCCACCTCTCTGCCAACGAGCTGGACTTCGCTCTGAAGGAGAAGGACCAGTACCACATCTACAGACTGTACAACGCAGGAGACGCTCAGAACGTCCGCCTGTGTCGCATTCGCAACCTGGCACAGCATCTCCACACCAAAGACTTGGAGCTGTATCTGTTTGTGTAGCTTCTTTTTATCTCTGACCGTCCGTGCACTCGTAGAAGTTTTAAAGTTTTATCACTTTTTATTTATCCTGCGTGTTTTATGGTTGATAGTTGCTCCTCACATTTACTGGACCATTCCTTTTAAAATAAAGTAATTTCTTTAGTCTGGTCCAAAGGTTTCCTCTTCCTTTGTGCAGGCACAAATGTACAGCCTGTCCAGTGGGACAGGGATGGGCGGCCGTCTTCCTCCACCAGCTGGGGGGCGGTGCGGCGTTGAGAGGACAGGAAGGAGACATGTTGGCCCAGATTTAGTTTCTATGGGAAGGACAACAGAACAAGATGGAAACAATAATTACAAAGAAAAGACAGCAGCAGAGTGAGGACATGAGGTCACTTTGTCTTAAGCCTATAGCAGCATACCTATGGGATAGCTCAGAACCCAAGCCAACCCTAACTATATGATTTATTGAGAAGGAAAGTCTTCAGCCTAATCTTTAAACAGAGTCAGCCTCGGATAGAAACTGGACGTTTTTTCGTCATGAAAGGAACCTTGTAACAAAAAGCTCCGCCTCCCATTCTGCTGTTGGAAACCCTAGGAACCACAAGTAAACCAGCAGTTTGAGAGTGAAGTGCTTTTTTTAGGAAAATGCGGAACAAAAATATCTTTAAAGCCATAATAGTTGTCAGAATATGCATTTTATTAAAGTTTTTGATTAGATTTTTATGCTTATAGCTCGATTTCTACATTAAATAAATGTTGGGGAGTAAATTTAACTCAACTCATCAGAGTTTTCCTAAAATTGCATTAAAAAACAAGAAATGTGCCACTTCAGTTTACAACTCAATTCAATGATCCGTTATTGAAATTACCATTAGAGTTCATCAAATCTCTCGACTGATCTGAGCTTCAACATTTGCTTTAACGCTGGTAGAAGGCAGGCACCGCTCATCTCCTGCCTCAAACCTTCCCAGCAGTGAAGCATGGTGGTGGCAGAATCATACTGTGGGAGTGGTTTTCAGTTCATCCTAATGCGTGAGAGGATTTACAACAAAAAATGGCAGAAAATCCCCTGATCCAGATGAGCTTAACTCTTTGAATCAGATCCAAAAAGACAAAGTTGTAAAAAGTCCTTGAGCTGCAGTCTCTGACAGGTGTCTGAGCAGAGGATGCTGAGGAAACTGCTCCAGGTCCTGAACAACGTCACACCCCCTGCATGACACACTCTTACCACAGCACCTCCAGACTTGGAACCTTCAGACTTGGAACCACCGAGAACGCCACAGGAAGTCCTTCCTCCCTGTGGCTATCAAACTTTTTAACTCCTCCCTCTTTCTGCACATAGGACAATAAAATTAATCCTGCACTACAATCAACGCTAATGTTTCTGTCTGCACATGACCTGTTTTAGAATTTAATTGTTAGTATTTTGATAGACTGTTATTTTTTTATATCTTGTGTGATTTTTTGTGTATGTTCCTTTGTTCTGAAACTGGCACAACAATTTCCAGCGGATCAATAAAGTTCTATCTTAAATAAAAGTTATACAAATGTGAAATTTCAGGTTTTTTATTTTTGATTAATTTACAGATTTTAATAAAAGTGTTTTCACTTTGTCATTATGAGGTACTGAATATAAATACATTAAATAAATAATAATTTAAATGACTTCAGGCTGCAGCATGAAACAGCAAGTGAAGGGGTCTGACTACTTCCGTAGCGTCTGTAACTTTGGAGTGTCACGAGCGATCACAAAAAATAGTGTTTGAAGACTTCTCTTTTTAAAATTGTGAAGCTGTAGCTATGTAAGGCTATTTAAATATAATTCATAAAATATTTCTGAAAATCAGTCAAGTTTCAACAAACCTGTTTCTCGTGTCTTACTTCTAATTTCTAAAAACTGTTTTTAAAATTTCCGATGGTCCTAAATGCAGCATAGTCTGTACAGAGACAGCGAGCGGCGAGGCGACGCTGTGATTGGACGCTGAGATGAAGAGGGGCGTGGCTTATATTCTCGGCTCCCTCATCCAGTCTCCTGTCTCTCCTCCCATCCGAGAGGACGGAGCGATGCGGAGACAATAGGACGCAGCGAGAGCCGCAGGAGGGGGGTCAGAGGCAGGATGCTCGGCGCCACTTGCAGCGGGACTCAGGTTTTCACCTGGCCTCGGTATGAGCCCACCTCCACCTGCGAGTCTAGCCGCAGTGTGGGCTGACCGTGGACGCCACAGTCCCCGGATGGACACCGACTGAAGGGTGAGTCCTCTGATCAGAACCGGGCCCAGAATACAAAATGGATTTATTCTAGCTTTAAGAGATTCAGCTGAAAATATTCTGGATGTAGTCCCGTTCCTTTGGTTTTTTGAGTGGGGTGGGGTGGGGGGGTTGTCAGGTGTTTGCAGTGGGTTGTGCATGTGTGCGCGTGCGTGTGCTTGTCTTTGATTTGTGTTGTGCTCGGTGCAGTCTGAGGTAAACTGCAGGTGAGATCCAGTGTTGGTCCATCCGGAGCATCCTGTTTACAGCCTCACACCGACTGCTTCACAATAAGAGACACCATTTATGGGCCTTTGTTTTTAAGAAAATAAAGGTTTGCTAAAAGAAAAAGATCCCTGTCTCATTTCCTTAGTGTGACCTAAATGTTGTTATTTTATAGAATCAGTAAGGAGAGTCTGAGTCTCTTTATGACATAACACACACACACACCAGCATGAGCATGATGAGTCACAAATGATAATGTAGGTTACATCCTAACAGACTCTGGACCATAAAGGGTCAGACTTGAGGTGGCAGCTCATTAAAATACTGCTGAGTAAAGTTGATGGATGGATGGAAGATTAATGGATGGATGATTGATGGATTATGGATAAATGGACTGATTATGATGGATGGATGGATGGATGGATGGTTGATGGATGGATGGTTGATGAATGATTGATGATTATGATGGACGGTTGATGGATGATGGATGGATGAATGGATGGATGGATGATGGATGGATGGATGGATGGATGGATGGATGGGTGCATGGATGGATGGATGGATGATGGATAGATGATGCTGGATGGATGGTTGATGATAGATGGATGGTTGATGGATGATGGATGGAT